CCCTTTTTACCATTATCTAAATTTAGTATGACCATAAAATACGTATACTCATATATTCCATTTGATTAAACGAAAGTCGATATAAACTACTTGCCACTGTGGGTTGGTTTGTTATTAAGGACGCCGTCAGTAACGAGACTCTAGAGCGTTCATGATTAGATGATTAATGAATATGGAGCACTTGGTGGAATGAGAACTGACAGAAGAACAGGAAGTACTATGACAAACTCGCCTCAGTGACGCTTTGTTAAGCACAAAACCGACATGCGTCTGAACGGCGGCACAGCCTGTCACTTCGTCATCTCGAGGATGCGTGGGAAGAACTTCCAAAGTGGCCGTTGTGGTCTATTTCAAGGCATTGTCTCAGCATTCGCCTAGAGAGATCGAGAGACAGCGTGCAGGAAAATATGAAATTCAACTGAGATTTGAAACGTGAACTTTACAGCTGTATCATTCCATGGTATTAGTCAAAATTATAGTATCTAAAAGTAAAATATTAGCTCCATACAACACAGATCTTTCTGGGAATGTGTCAGACTCTCACAGGGTCAAGAGACTCCCAGATTTTTTTGGAACCAGAAGGTTCATTGCCATGTTTTTAAGAGCCCATCTTGTCCCTATCGTGCGCCACATAAATAAAGTCCATAACAACGAATCATATTTCTCGAAGTTTCATTTTAATACCATCCTCCAACCTATGTCTTGGTCTTCCTACTGGTCTCTTTCTTTCTGGCTTTGCTACCAAAATCCCGTATGAATTTCTCTTTTCTCATGCATGTTACATGTCCTACCCATCTCATCGTCGTTGACGTTTTTATTCTCTTTCTATTTGGGGAGGAGTACAATTTATAGAGCTCCGCGTTATGTAATTTTCTTCAACCCAAATACTTCCCATATTAATTGGATTGATAGTACGCTCCTCTCCAGCACAGCGACTGCAGCTAAGTTAACTGCAAACTCACATCCTGCAGCTCTGCTGGCACGCGAGCCTACGTGTTACCTTTCAAAGAGATGACAGCCAGACGGATCGAAGCATCATATCTAAGTTCAACAAAAATACGCCAAGCGATGTTCCCATAATTTCGTACTGGGTGAGATTGTCAATTCATAAGATGATTCTTTTAACACTGCATGATCTAATTTACTTCTCAATTGTTTAATTTATTATTATCTTACAAATACCCCCCCCATTGATTTACAACTTTTATTAGCTAGAAAATGTATAATATGTATAATTAAGTACACGGCCTTCAGCATAAATAAGAAGGTATACCATTTTAGATGATAATAAGTAACCTGAGTTTTGTATACGGTTATAGCACTAGGTAAAATAAGGCAGCTTAAGTGATGTGAACGGCCCCTGACGATGAACTGCAGGGAGTTGTGAACATGTCTGGTTAATCTGATCACTATGAACAACTGAGGGCCGGTCACGGTAGCCGAGCGGTCTAAGGCGTGCACTGTCTCCGCTCGCTCGGAAGCCGGGATCGTGGGTTCGAATCCCACTCAGGGCATGGATGTTTAGTTTGTGTGTGTGCGTTTTTCTGTGTTTGTGTACAGGTAGAGGCCTTGCGACGAGCTGATCACCCGCCCAAGGAGTCCTACCGTATGTGTAAGATCTAGAAAAACCGAAGTGAACGGAGAAGTTCATGGAGGTAGGCCTAGGCCTACTGGGGCTGTAGTGCCAGGGAAACATGAACAACTGAGTGCATTATGATGGTAAAGAAGAAGCGATATTCCGTGCATGATAATATAGTGGCATGGTTCCGAATGTCAAGTGTTTTGTGACAACTTTAAATTTCCCACGGACACCGAAAACTTTTTCCGAGGCCTTCCAAGTGCCAGCTGGAATACGATCGGTGACCCTCGGCCCAGACTACAGTCAGCAGCTTAATGGCATACGGAAATAATTGTGCATCGACTATCGCCTACCAATCTCGCCAACAACTGGAAACTGCTCTATGGTCTAATCACTTTCGAGTAAACAGACAATGCACCTTCTGCTGTAGGCCTGATTACAATGGTTGACTGGAAATGCTAAGCACCTGCATCGCCTGCTATAATTGTCATTGTTATGCATTAAGCTCTTAGCCTGTTACGGATACAAAAAGAAAAAACAAGCAAAAACAAATTCCGTGGCTTTTAGTCTGCAAACGAACTATGCTGACCGAGCGACCGCCTCTTGTCGGCGAAGTTAGTGCCAACTTTTAGTGGATAGAGGGTGCCGCGTGGTTAGCGCAACGGATCCCCCCAGTCGTTAATCTCGGTTTTCTATACCGGAGCTGCTGTTTCCTTGAAATAACTCCTCATTTATCCTCACGGCGCTAAGCGGGCCCCGTTCCAGACCCACTACTTCTCAGAAAATCTGGTAGCGCCGGGAATCGAACCCGGGACCTCTGGATCTGTAGGCAGGAACTCTTGGCCTGTTCCGGATACAAGGGCTAAAATTCTTCTTTATTTTTAAGATGTTCCTGGTATCTTCTACCCTGCAGTTTAAGCTTTTAAATGTTCAAAAATACGTTCCTGAGCATCTCAAGCGCAGGAAAAACGTTCTGAACACAAGTTGTTCATTTCGAGAAAATTATCCCGTAACTCGAGAAATGTTGGACAAATCTCGCCCATTTCATCATCCTCTAAAGCAATTTTGTGATCATATTTGTTGAGGAGTGTCCCTATTCATCATGAAGCATCTACTCGCAATTGTGTCATTAAGTCCGTGTTTCTGTTTCATTTCCTTTTAGAGCAAAATATTGTCCCCCGTTCACATTTCAACTTGAAAGCAAACACTCCTCCTGTTTCCCCAGAGCAATTAGTCACGTGTTACAGCACTTTTAATGTCAAGCAGGCTAATACGTAATATTGGCGCGTGTTCAACAAAGCAGATTGCGTGTTAGATACAGCAAACTTTTGCTAAAAAGTTAGTACGTCGATACTGCGGACTCAGCTGTTTTGTGCATGTGCTTGCGTGATGACGCCACGGAACCTACTCAGAGGTTTGCCTAACTGTGCAAACACTGACCTCATATACTATATAATGAGGCCAGGAGACTAATTAGTGGCAGTTCTTCCGAATCCAGAGCATTAAACACAACGCTACAAATAAAGAGTGGATTACAAATGCGAAAATCTGCCATGATTCTCTAAAATACAACTCCGTGCTTCTGTAATTAAGTTCTACTTAAAAAATTGTTCTACAAATTGACTTGACATAATTATACACACCCGTACGTAAGAGACTTTCATATGCATCTGAGATTTCCATGTGAAAAATCGCTGACTAGAAAATCCAAAACGTTATCTGTAACAGTTACACGGCAAACAAGTTATCACTTCATCTGACCAGACTATACAAACACGCGGGTGTACATATATACACGAGCGCTCACAAAAACATACGGAGAGCCGCGATATCGCAGTCGGTATACTGACTGGACAACCGAGGGGTCGGAGTTCGAGTCCCGGTAGGGTCAAGAATTTTCTGTACGTAGTCCAGGCCGACTCTTGGGCCCACCCAGCCTCAAGCAGCCGGAGCGTGAAGTTGACCACCTCCAACTAGTGCCGAGATCAAGAAAATCTGGATCTATACATCTGCTCCTCCATACTCGTATGTCTTCATGGCGTTTAGCACAGGACAACTTTACCTTTATAAGTCCTATATGTCGACAGTTAAATATACACATATATACGTGCTGGCATATTTATCGTTGATATTATGGAAGTGATAGTTCATATCGAAATCTAAAGAAACTAGTTCACACCAACACATGCATCCTGCATTGAATACACTATTTTAAAACAGAATTTTATCTTAATGGTAAACTTTCATATTTTATCCACAATTCATTGAGATGTGGTAATCTGTGCTCTCAAGCTTCGCAAACCGATGTATCTCAGTTGGCGTGTTGCTACTTTAATCCGTGCTCTGCGAATCCAAATGCGTCTAATGATATACGAGTAGTAGACAGAGTACAGTGACAGCAAAGCTATTCGCCAGCCTGTGTTGTCGTTTCGTTGGTCTCTGGTTGATCTGTTCTGTTATTTCTTTGTTGTGTTGTTACTCCTCATCCTTCACGTAATATTCGTTACATCTTGCTGCGCACTTACAGAATAGCAATTCTGAGTCCTAATATTATATCTGATCTCGATCTTTTCCTTTACCTTAGTTTTTAACATATCAAATACTTCTATGAAATGTAATTCATATTATAATTTTCTTTAAAAAAGCATAATAAACAATGCAAGACAATATGAGTCACTTCATATTTCAATGGTCACATACATATACATAATCTAGATACATCACTTCTTTTATTAACTGTTCCTAAACATTCTTAATCCGTTAGATCTTTCTATGAATCGTAATGAAATACACAGAAGAAAATGAAGAAGAAGAAGAAGAACTAAAGCACACAGAAGTGTGGAGAATACGGACATAATGTATACGTACATACATAACCATATAGTCCGAAATAAGCATGTACTTTATACAGGCACACGACTTTGATAGAGCATGATACACCTATTGAGCTACATATAGTTTATCGCCATGTGCAACGATTGAAAGACACTCTTGTAAGCCACTAGCACAGATGAACTTCACAATAAAGAGTGATGTTTACGCAGTAAGGTTCCTGGCTTGTGTTCGGGAGGTTTCCGGTTCGATTCTTTGCCGGAATATCGATTATTCTGCGGTTTTCTCAGTCCCTTCAGGAAAATGCTGGGATAATACGTACCTCAACTACGCAACGACTGTGTCCTTCCATATCCTTTCCAATTCATTCTTCCATTCGACGCTATACAGTCTGAGCTACTGACATCGGCGTCAAATAGACCAGAAGTAAAACTTAGTAATTTACGTGGTCTAGATGAAGGGCGACAAACAGGGTTCCACAGCAAGAATTTCATTATCAGAAGAATAAAATCACTTAAACATAGAACTACAGATAATTTGTAGTGGACAAACCCTAGGAAAAGCTTAAAACAAATCTTAATTAACTCACCAGTAGAAGTACGAGTAACACACGAAGCAGCAGTCACGTCCGCTCCCTGCCGCTGTTCACACTACCGTCACACCGAGGCGTTACAAATAGATTTGAGCGCTCGCAAAATACTGCCTGAAAGCCACCACCAACAAACGCAAATAACTCGCTGCTCTTGCAGCACATACTTGTTCCCTAATGGAAAGTGCGAAAAGTTTGCAGTGGAACACAGAAATATAACTGTTATATGTGAAGTGCGCTTGCGCCCATATGGACAGTCTTAAGATGTAGGATGTGGCGCCTGCATATTTACTGGCAGCCAGGCAGCCTACGTCGCGTGCGCCACCGTGATGAGTAACACAAGAGCTTCTCAGACCGTTTGTAACATGTTCACTGTGAACGTAATTCTTGTTCCTATTCGTTTATTTGGTTGCCTTTGCAAACTCATTTACTTAGAATCAAGGTAGCTTCGTCACACGTGCTAAAAACTGGGTGATAGAATTACACTTTGAAAAGAGTAATATTGGAATTATAAACAATTCGCTGCTAGCGGATCCCCGACGGTTCAACACCACTTACGATTATACCAAAGTCCACCACCGAACACGACACAAAGCTATTGCAATCCAAACATTTTTCGTCACGAACGATTACCATGAGACCATTCCAAGTGATGATGTTAAGAGATCTTACCCTATTCTGATTGTACAGGTATATGAACTTCTTCTTTCTGTTGTCCAAGCTACATTTTCATTCTGCCCATCATAATTTTCTTGATTTAACTGTCTTGAAGAGTCTAAGTAAGCTGTGTTTTTGTGATTTATTTCACGAGCCTGTCAGTGGCCCAGACTACATAGCTTCGATTAGTGATTAATGAACTAGAAGGGATGTGAAAGGAAGAAATCGTGGCTTAATTTGAGTTACTGTCCTGGAGTGAAATGTACACACCCCAAATTTCCTTATTATTTGTTCCACCTTTCTTCTGTCCATGTCACCTCGTCGCCACGAAAAAAAAAAACTATAAAATTCCGAGGTTTTTTAAACGTCGTAGAATAAATTCCTTTTCACTGCTGGTTAATGCTACCTCCCCCCAAGCTAGATGGACACAACTCATCTTCCCGCGATTGCTTATAATTCTCGTTCTCAGTTCTTGGTCACTCCAGGACTAGTTCTTCGGTAGTAATTCATGTTCCGGGGTGCACTTTAGGCATGAAAGTTGCATGGAAGATAGTAATGGAGGGAACACAGGTATCTGAGGTCGCCTTTGGGATTTTGAAAAAGAAAACTCAAAATTAAAAAGAAATGTATATATATGTGTGTATACCACGTATTAAAACCTTCTAAAATTTTCTTCCATCTTGAATACACCAGGACAAACAAAACACGTTAAACTGAAAATTTAAAGCAAATTTTCTGGCTATGTCCCTATGAACGAATTCCTAGTGGTTCCCATGGAGGCTTGTAAATATCTGTTCTATATAGAAGACAATAAATAATAGCAACAGAGGTCACTTTCATGCTCTGGCCACTTTACCCCTGAGAAGTGAGCTGCTGATATCCATCAGACAGGATATTTTATGGGACACGTGATAGCATAGTTGATTGAGGCACTATGCTACAATCTGGAAGGTCACGGGACCAAATCCAGACAAGGTGGATTTTTTTCAATTGACCTAATCCTTCCAGCCGCATTATAACCCTGGCGTTGACTCAGCCTCTAACAGAAATGAGTACCGGGAATATTCCTGGAGGTAAAGGGCGGCCAGCGTGTAAGGCTGACCTCACCACCATCTGTGAGCAGACTGTCTAGAAAATGTGGGAGCCTCAACATCTCACAATCCTATGGGCCTCCACGGCCTGTTACAGGGATACCTTTACTCACTTTACACGACATTTTATGGTCTGCAGAGCTACTTACCAAGGTCAATGAACCAACTCCACTGAACAAAGTTAATTTTAGAAGTTAAAAGCAACTCAGCTGATGAAGAAATCCCATTTCTTAAGGAACCCAAAGGCTCATTATTTTATTCACTAAAGCCTTCCACTGAGCTCAATCCTGACCCAGTTGACTCCAGACCATAACTTCACTGTTTATTTAATTTTAATATCATTCAATCCACGCCCAGCTTTACCAAATGGTATTTTCAATCGAACTTCTGAATGCATCTCTTCTGTGCTGCATGCCCACCCATCTCATTCTCCATCACTAATTCACCATAATGGTATTAGTTGAAAAATCAAGATCAAAGAGGGATGCAAACTGTGTGTATATATTCCAGTGGTTGCACAATCAAAATAACAGTCACTATTGCAATGCTTCTAAGGGATATCTCACCTCTTCCACATTTACCACTTAAGCATCATACAAATGTCACAGGTCAGTAACAAAACAACCATCATATCTCATTGGTAATAAATATGGTGTAACAATGTTTTATTGATCATTCTGAATAGTATCAACACAGGTACTTGCAAATGTAGTAAGATGCATGAACAATAATACAATTATAATAAGCTACTTTGTAACAGGTCATTATCTTACAAGAGTCTGCATTTCTGCACTGCATACAAATCAGACAACTAAAATTATTGCTGAAATACAAATACATCTGTAGGAACAATTAAATTAAGTAGAGTAGAATTTGTCAGGTGGCTAGATGTAAGTAAACAGCTTCTGTGTTAGGGCTGTTCAGGGAATCATGTTTACAGCAAACATATTCCAGTGAGATGGCAATCATAACACTTCTATTCATTAAGTTTGCAGCTCACTAAAACTGGTCATCCAATTGCAGTTCTACATATTGTGACAAGACACCTAAGAGCCAGAATAGTGGAGTCATAGAAGCACCAAGAGGTCGTCCATTGCTAGGCATCGGCATATTAAAACAGAGGGTGCTGTGGGCACCACAAGAGATTGTCTAGATAATGTGGGGCCCTCAATGTCTCATAACCCTATGGGCCTTCACGGCCTGTTACAGGGATAGCTTTACTTGCTTACTGACGAACTTGGGAGCGGAAAGCCTGTAAGAGCAGCCATAACACTTGCCATTGCTTTCAGAAGAAACTGGACAATATCCGCATCAAGGTCAAACAAGTGAACAGTGGAATAAAGCCAGTCAAACTTCAGATCAAAAATGTATAGCAACAACATGACCAGATGATTAAGCAGAATCTGCGCACGAAATGCAGGATGCATTGGGCACTGCAACGCCAAAAGAATGGGGAAGTACTTGTTTGACAACAACAGAAAGCTTGATGTCACTGCTTGCTCTTCTGTAGTGAGCATCCTCTGGATTCGAACATGCTGCACATGGAGTGGTGCTAAATTAATTAAACACAGTAATAACTTTATGTTTACCTTACCAGTAGACTGGTTCTCCCCCCGACATTACTCTTATGATAGCTGGCGTCAAGTTGGAGTGGGCCAGTCTCATCTGGTAAAGAGAATGATTAGAGGCCTTGGGGCCGAAATACCTCAACTTATTTGGGGCCTGATGCATCAGTACAATATCAAGGCTCCATTGGAGAGAATAGCTGCCGACATGGTAGGACTTTTCCCTCAGAGCGACCAAGGGAACAGACAGGAGTACCTCGTGATAGGCATGGACTATTTCACAAAGTGGCCAGATGCCTATTCTACTTTGGAGAAAGACCAAGGCCGTAACTTTGAGTCTGGCCTTATGCAGGTGCTGCAGCACCTGGGAGTAAGCAAGATGCCTGCGGTAGGACGGCACGGCTGAGCGGGATACAAAAACGGTCGAGGAAAATCTGCTATCCACAATTATGCCCGCCACATGTGAAGCTGGCCAGCGGCAGAATGAAAGTCACTACGACTTCATGGCCAGTTCCTCAGGCTTCCAGAAGGGTGACTAGCTGTACTGTCCAACCCGAACTTAACTCCAATTGTCATGGGAGGGCTATTACAATGTAGTCACCCAAATCAACGATGTGATGTACATGATTCAGTGGCATGCTACAGCAAATATGATGGTACATTTGGGCCAACTTGCGCCTTATTAGGGAGCAGCTCGAAATGAGCAGTTCAAGAGCAGTAGCTGAACAAGCACCGAGCACGTCAACACACAGACCACTGGAAAGGTTTGTAATGTGCTGTAGTTATTTGTAGACTGTGTGGAATAGTGAGTGTTGTAATTATTTGTGGCAACTTGTAATAAGCATAAAATAAAATCGATAATCATTCTAAATCCTGTGTCTAGTTGCTAACACGTGACAATATTATATCTTACTAAAGTACTGCCACTTTAGAGGTCATTAATAGTCCAAGTGTCTCCATATGCAATACATTCTATCAATGTAATTTCTTTGTGGCCATGGTGGCAGTAATGGACAGCAATGTCATCTACTTTTTTAATAATTCAATTCAGCAGTGTTCACAAAAAGCAAACAATCACACAGCTAGTCAACAAATTACTTTACTTCAAAGGGACCCAAAGGTCACATTCAGATCCTGAGCCACCTACATACAGTCCAAAAATCTCATACCCTATTTTTGTAAGATTCATTTTAATATTGCCCATCTCTCCACTGGTGTCCTAAGCGATCCTTTCATTTCAGATTTTAGAAACTATAATTTATGTACATATCATTTCCTTCATGTTCCATTCATCTCGCCCTTTCTGATCTATCACTCTATTCATATTTAAGGAGGAGTTCAAATTGCATTGCCCATTATGCAGTTTTCCACAGCCACATGCCACTTCCTCTCTGTGGGATACAAATATGTTCCTCAATCAACATTTAAAACTGGAACAAATAACAGGCATTTTATTATGATGGGTGAGTGAGAAAACAAAGAGATAAGATCTCAAAAAGTAAAACTTAAATTATTACTAGGGCTACATGACATGGATAAATGATCAGGAATGGGAATAATTAGTAGAAATCTGCTTCATGGTACTGTCACAGATTTTTCTTTTGGAGATACTCAAGAGGACCATCACAAACTCAGAAGAGGTGATAATTCAGACAAGATTAAAATAGGATGCATTCTATATACAGGTAGGCTTGGCTTTAAAAAGATTCTCATTACAAAATTTTGTTCATACTACTACAACAATGAAGTGCATCCTCAGCTTGAAATCTGAATCCCCGCTTGGAACAGATATATATACATGTGAATGAAAATGGAAGCAAAGCAATGCAACACTGCCTAGTAAGTTCACCTCATGCCCTTCTCTGGTGTGTATCTTGTATAAGACTTTGCTGTTTTCTAAACATTTTTATTGGTTTTTCGTTACCATCATCAAGAATAGAAGCAAAGAAATGTAACAGTGGCCAGTCAATTCACCTCATGCCCTTCTCTGGCATGTATCTTGTATAAGGTTTTCCAATTTTTGAAACTTTTTCTTGGTTTTTCAACACCACCTATAATAACTGGGCCTTTTTCATACATTACGATCCCATGGATAATCAAACTGGCCCCCCCCCCATCCCTTCAACGGTCAACCTCACCCCTTTCTTCATTCTGGGTGGTAATTAGAATTCAGTCAATTGGCATTCTTAGGACATGTTCATAACAGTTTTGTTGACATCCATTTAATTTTTAATTCAGATCAACTATATTCAGTTCCTCTCTAATATCCTCATTCCTTCTTTGGGCTGTTCTTCAATAGCCTGCTATGGGTTTCAGAAACCTCATTTCAGCAACTTCAATTTGTTGCAGCAATATTTTTAATAATAGGATCTTATCAAATACTCTGATGCTTGCATATTTCATTTACAGCAATATATATATGGGCCTCCATGGCCTGTAACTGGGATACCTTTACTTTTATATACAGGATGTTTCACGACTTTAGGGCATAACTGCAGGAGGTGATTTCCTAGGTCTTTGTGATAAAAAAAGTTCATATAAACATGTGTCTGATTTTGGATGGTTACGGAGTTATGACCGTTTAAACTCAGAATAGAAGGTAACGATTACCGACAATAAACGGAACAAGATAATAAACCAGCATAATACATGATACATTTAAAGTATGAATGTAAAGTTAACTTCGTGAAATTACCTTTAATTTGAACTGATTGGTGCTTAAAGCTGATTTTCGAAAATGTCACCGCTGGCCACAACACAGGCTGACACTCAGTTGTGAACCACGCCGGACATACCAACCCACCCCGCTCTCAAGTGTTGAGATATCGAGAACGCTCTGTCTGTAGTTGGCTAAAAATAGCGACCTGCCAGTTGACAGACGCGGTTCATATGAGGGCGTGTACGGGAATGAAAAAATGGTCATAACTCTGTAACCGTCCAAAATCGGACACATGTTTATATGGACTTCTTTGATCACAAAGACCTAGGACATCACCTCCTGCAGTTATGCCCTAAAGTCGTGAAACACCCTGTATATATATTATTGGTCATTTGAGAATATAAATCCCAATTATAACATTGTGCCCATGAGAAATAACAATTAAATTTATGAAATTTTGTTTATGAACTCTCTCCATGAAAGTAACTATTTGTAAAAACATGCACTGCCTGTACATATACAAAGCATTACTGAGGAAGAACAGAAACAAGCTGTATATGACAGACCTCGATCAAGAAACATTGTCAGTGAACCAACTCCCAGTTTTCCTTTCTTTTTCTAACTGTGGATTAAAAGAGTGGAGGAAGAGCACATATTACATAAAGAACTCTGTGGCCTGTAGTCCGCAAGCGAACTATACTGACCGAGTGACCCCCACTTGTTAGTGAAGTTAGTGCCAACTTTTGCAGATAGAGGGTGTCATGTGGTCAGCGCAATGGATCCCCACGGCCCTTAATCTCGGTTTTCTAGACTGGAAATATATTACATAAGCAATCATTAAATTTATTGCGGAACTAGTGGCTGAAGTCATGGCCAAGTAGCAGGGAACTTATAATTTTTCCAGCTTACCTTGGGATCTCATGGCATAGGTCATATAATAATCAACATTTTTACTTGCAACTTTTAAGACTGTACAGTATAATGCTTTAGCTTGTTCAGAAATATGGTGAATGTTTGTTACGAACTCTTTAATTAGTAACACAGTGGTTCCAATTACTGTAACAGTGAATGTCGCTAATGTTTGTGTTTTTGTTACAACATGAAGCTCTGTTTGTGGATGATGGTGGGTGGGCAGTGGAGGTCAGCCAGGCATCTTCCACCTCTTCATCTTTGGGGAAAATAGAACTGGCAGGGGGAGTGGAGAATAAACATACTGAATATTAATACCAAAAATTAAAATTATTTACATGTGTTTCAATAGTAGACCCATACCTCCAGGGCAGTCCATACAAAATCTCCTTAAATGGCTTCAGTATAAAATTTGTAAAATGAATTTCCTAGCTATCACCCCTTGGAAATAATGCAGTGGCATCTATGCCTCTGTTGCCCATGCCACCACTTTGTAGTAAATCAGAGAGAAAAAATGATGTCCAAATATAAACAAAATATAATGAGTACATCTTCTGCACGTTCAATTAATATAAGATACTCCATTTGCAGCTACAAGATTATTCAGGGTTTGTGACTGTCATGTACAGTTTTGGCACAAACATAAGAAGAGAGGCATTGCATTAAGGTGTGGATGCACTATGTTATCCGAAATATAACATCCAGCTTTTTTTCGTTGGGGGGGGGGGACACACACCTATACCGTCTTATACTTCATAAAATACAAGAGTAGAAAAATCCTGCTTGCAGAGAGATCTGCCTTCTGTGCGCACAATTAAAGTCACTTTGTGTTTACTACATTGATCTGATATCTAACAAATGGTCTGATGGATAAAATAGCAGAATGAATATACACGAGTTTGACTTTGGTAACAAAAATTATCAGTTTCATCTTTAACTATTTTCATCACAAACACACATTAAAAAAATTACTTCCACTATAATAAGATTGTTTGTAATCAACACCACCAATTTTGATTCATTTTTTACATATTTGCAATGATGAATGAAACCAAACTGCATTAGGGTAAACCAGAGCTCAGCGACTCTGATCTGACAGAATTATTTAACAATAACTCATTTAAATACAGTCAAATCATGTTAAATATGATGAAAACAGAGTGAGTGGCCAGCCACAGCATAATTTGGATGGCCAGGTAACAATGTCATACAATCTGTCCATTTGAGATGTACTACTTCATCAAGCTGGTATTTGTTAATTCTAACAGACATTATGCTTTACTCCTAAACAGAGCTGTCTGTAGCTGGAGAAATAAATTATTTTCTTTTTTAAATTTCAGGACTAAGACAAATTAATCCTTTCCCATAAGGTGCAGCTGCACAAGGGCATGGGCATTCAGGCTTCTCATACAGAACCCATACTTTTCTCCTAAGCAACAGGAATCTGTGCCCTTATCAACAATATCAGCCATGAAGATACAATTTAATTTAAAAGTGCAACGGTCAGCTTGCAAGTACTTCAAATTTCTTTAAACATTCTTTACTGGAACTTAACATGAAATTCTTAAAATATTAATATTAAACATTAAAGAAAATATTACTGCAGGTAAACACTATATAACCTCACAAAAAAATATGTTAGGACCAAATACTTCGAACTTCTGAAGAAGACACACACCACAGAAGCTACTAACCCACTGGAATAATAGACAAAATACAAACACAAAATCATGCCAAATTTTCTGAAACAAATGCCTCAATATTATTATAAAACTGGATGCATGCTGTCTGTTAACTAAATTGTTTTTTTACTCTCATCTGTTTTATGGCGCTGGGATAGTTCAGCAAGTATACAGCCTAAGATATGCAATGGATGACTGTGGAATCAGGGTTTGATTCCTGGCAGAGGCAAGATATCTTTCTTTTCTCCAGTCTCCAGAACAGTTCTGGGGGTCACTCAGCCTCCTATCCAACGGGTACCAAGGGCTCTTCCCCGATGGACGAAAGGGTCGGGACATGAAGCTAACCTCTCAACTCCATCTAGCACTGAGATTGAGAGCATGCAGAGCCATGCCTCTGCTATCCCATATGCCTTCATGGTGTGGTGTTTAATTAAGGACAGGGATAACTTTCCCTTTACACCTCCTGAGTGATGTTTCACAGCCATAAAAGCAGCTATCAACCTGAACGGGGAAGACGTCTCAAAAACCATCAAGGCATGCCAGTGGGATTAGAAGAGGAAAGAAAAAGAAAGGACTGTAACATCACACAAAACTTTAGAACTGACCAACCTGATCATACAATGTGAATGGTACCCTTGCTGAAAAGATCACACAAACCATTTCTGTAGAAACAGTACAAATATCTATAGCCAGTTCTGTGTTATGTTCCAAATATCATCTGAAGAACTGAGGAAAACAACAAATGTCTCTAAGCCTACGATCTCATCTTCAAATTCTCTCATTTTACACACGAGCACATTTAAATCACGGAATTATTATTTGAAGTTACACTTGAAATTATGCACATACTCATTTCACCCAATTTTGTGGAAATATCTAATTTCATATACACTCACGATGGTAATAATAATCCTTAGTACATAAGTGTTTATAATATTGAAATAATAAACCTGAAAACATACCAAGGAATGTGAAATGATTTCAAAAGCTCTAAACTCTTCCTGCAGTCATTATACTTCAAACCCTGGAATGACACTGGCCACTAGAAGCTGCATATACTCTGAGCCTGAAGATAACATAACAACTCCAGTGTGCGAGGCACATCAAAGTAAACTGTCTCCCCAGTGTTACATCCAACCCCTTTCACAAACAATAAAGTAACAAGTTATTCACTCATTACATCCAAAAAGTGCTGATGCTAAACTTCAATCTCACTGCATCACGGCTCTCAGTCATCATGTACCTGTTATAAAATTTTCTTGCACATCTCCAGTCTTTATATTTGCACAAAAAGTGTACTAATACATAATAATTGTACCTGTTAAACAAATGGATAAATAACAAATATATACAATTTTTAACACAAATCTAATTATTGCATATCAGCCATGTTGACAAAGATCAAATTCCAGGTTCCCATATCTTCATTTTACAATACTACATAATGTAAAAACAGTAAATTTACAATTTTCTTTAGGAATGGTCAAGATCTTGTTCAGTTGTAAAATAAAAATAAAGGAGTAACCACCAATCAAGTTCTACAGTATTACTATTGCAATGCTTTAGAATATATCAGATGAATACAAAATATCCTCTGCAAAGACATGGTGTCTAGCTTTAAGAAAACACATATGAAAATACACTCAATGTGACTTAAATTAAACAATGTTAGAAGTATTCCTTGTGTACAGTCAACAATGTGTTCTTGAACAATACAATAAGCTCATTTCATGATTTGAAACAGTATTTCAACATGAGAAATGGAAAAAGTCCAACAGCCTACAAACATGATAAACAGGGAAAAGGTCTCCCTAACAAATGTATTAGTGAGAGATATGCACAGAGATCTTGCCAGCTGTAATATAAATAATGGATACTGACAGATGTGGAGCAGTGCAGGTGACATACTGTACATCAAGGTATTCAATATTTATATCTCAAACATAGTCACCTTAGTTGCCAATTATGCAGGCATAAATCCAGAGCCTGATACAGATAATTGCAAATCACGTAAACTGTGAGCTAGATTTAATAACGAACAAATTTTGGCAGTGAACAATGAATATAAGTTATCCCTGTTTATCACAATGTGACATGATCGCTGAGCTGCAAACTATGGAATCAAGGAAACTAATGTGTGACCACATCGGGTAGTAAAGAACCTTCAGTAACTGCACACTGACATTTCCTTATCTGTGATTTGAGTCACAAAAAAACTAATTACTGCAGTCATTATTATTATTATTATTATTATTGTAGATCCCATTATTAACAGAGGGAATTTTCATGCCTTCTCCAATATCTTACAAATCTGATCAACATGGATATCTTTGGTACAAGATTGAAATCTGCAGTTAACATATGAGATGGGCTACAGATACACTTTTCTTGCAAAGTCCCATTTCCTGACAACAACATTAGCATGGCAGTGATTGGTCAGGGCCTAACCATTCAAGGCCTGAGCTAAATGACATACGTCCCCATGCATATCTGGGATATAACAATTAACAAGAGCTTCAGCTAATATGACATGGAGAGAAGCAGTGCCCACCCAAACGACACTACTTTGCAATAACGATCAAGCAAACATATGAATATAGCCCAAACATCCCCCACATGTTTAACCAGAACAGTACATAACAAGCTGAACTTGATAATGACAAATGTCGCACAGCTTCTATATATGAAAACGAAGTCCATGCCAACAACAAGGAGCACTTTGAAAATGGGCATATATTCAAATACTTTCTTCCTTCAATGTCACTCTTCATCTGGAAAAAATAAATACCATTCTGAGAAGTCAGATATTAAACACAGAGATTGCAAATCCAAAACACTTGTGTTCCAAATAGTTACTAGTACAGCTATGAACAAAACATGTTCCCCTTCCATGTAAGAGAATAAACACTTCATCAATCCCTTGGCAATGTGTCAGGATTACTGACAAAATATTTCCTTATATAACACATATGTCTTCAATATAAAACAGTGAAAGACAATAAGTTATGGCAATAAGTCTAGACAGAGGAGCTGACAGGATTTATAAATAATAATCATGCAGTTTAGTGAGTTATTTCTTTGTATAATTTCTACTTCCTTAAGAATGTCAGATATAAATTCAAACTTTTTGAACCATCAACATATCTGAAAAATTTAACACATTAACTCCCACACTGTCTTTTTGTGTTTGCCCATATCCAATTTCATAATCACCCATACGATTCTTGTAACTGTATCACGGATCTTTAGTTTGGGCTCTTAAGAGGAAAATAGCCTTAGGATTTGAAATGCTCTCAGTTCAAACACATACATACATCACCAGCATGAAACAACTATATATACAGATGTTATGCAAATTTCATATCATTATTACACATTCTATAAGAAGATACCTCAACTGTAATCAATGTTGGATACTTTCTGAAGCTCTGTAACACAAAATTTCAGGATCCTACATGAACTGCCACTTGTGTTAGTCCCTTCTACCAAGCTGATACAACTTCAATGTTAGTATTATTGGTGGAATAGAATTAAAAGATACAAAAGTACTGTAGTCTCTAATGGAATGATGTCCAAACCAAGTTTCATGGAATTCAATCAGTTGATTGAAAAGTTCTGGATGGGATCAGACGTTATACAATTGGGAGATGTGAACACAACAGACTGATTCACCCTAATTTCAGTCTTATTACTAGTATCTCATGCTCTTGTGGATATGTTAAAAGAAACGGTCAATATGTAACCTCGCCCCAATTCAATACTGCATGACATCACTCTGTTTTCTCCTACTAAACAGCAATCATAAATACCTCGTTCATACTCCTTCTTCACAATGCAAAGTGTGAAGTGATTCTGATGTGTAGTTTTGTGTACAACACTTTCTGAAAAGTGCACCCAATTTCATACACTGAATAAGTAATTCAACAAGTTTTTTAATTTCAGGAATCAGAAAACTTCAACACGACTTTTACACAACATTTAAACAGATGGCATGGGCATATTTCAAGACACTGATTATGAAAGCCTTGAAATGGTATAAGTGATGATTACTTTGCAAAACTGAAAGCCACTCATGGCATTATTTTCACTGAATTTAAATTCCTGAGTATGGCATACACGAATAGTTACATTTTTTTTTCCTTGGCACTACAGCCCCAGTGGGCCTAGACCTACTTCCATGAACTTCTCCGTTCACTTCGGTTTTTATAGATCTTACACATTCGGTAGGACTCCTTGGGCGAGTGATCAGCTCGTCGCAAGGCCTCTGCCTGTAGACAAACACAGAAAAATGCACACAAACATCCATGCCGAGTGGGGTTTGAACCCACGATCTCGGCTTCCGAGCAAGCGAAGACAGTGCATGCCTTAGACCGCTTGGCTACCGTGACCGGCGAATAGTTACATATACTGCAGGGTTAATACAGTAGATCCAATATTAAGAATATACCATGCTGTCTCATGGGCTTCTATTTTTTACAGTGCCACCTGTATGAAGCCAAATTTTCTATTTCTTAGCCTCCTGTCTAATAGGTAGAGGGGCCTCTTTCCCTTGGGGTAAAGTGGATAGTGTGTGAAGTTGACAACTTACCTCCACTTAACGCCAAGGTAAAGAATATATAGATCTACACATCATGTCTTCATGGTGTGGTGCTTAATTAATTAAGTACAGGGATATCTTTACTTTTCCCTCATGCTGGGCTCTGATGTAGATAAATTTCTTCAATAGTGAAAGAATTCAGTTCACTCATTCTAATGAAAATGACAAATTTTAAAGAATTCTGGCCATATGATTAACTCATAGCCTGCAATATAGCTGGGCAGTCAGCTTTATGCTATTATCCACTGCAATGTCACACAATACGAGAAACTGTCTATTCTTAATGTTAAACAGGTCACAAAATGCATGTAGCATAGACAGAGAAGCTGTCATATGTGAAAGTGTATAACATACACTATAAACGTCCAGCCCTTACGTTGGGCTCCACCAGGTTGCTGCTGCGTCCTTCTTGTCCAATTCTTCGCTTTTTTGTTGGTGTTGTGGATATTTGATGTTTGCCGGATATGGGTTACATGAATGCTGGGTGCCATTAAGCTTACTATAGAGGTTTACTTTTCAGGAAAAAGGAGGATAAACCGGAAACTACAGGTGATAGGTACTGCATTCGCACTAGAGCGATGAGATTCAGTCCACATATGGGCCTCGCTTTAGTGGGAAATATAAGAGTGTTTATAGCTAGGCACAACCACACACTGTTTAATGGGCACTTTTTGATATTCAGGTAACAGCACTTGTCCTTAACCCCTTAAACAAACTTGAAATCACTCAAACTTTGGCGACCGTGTCCCTGGCTAGTTATTTAGTGACTGCTTTTTTTTTGCACAACACTTAGAAGTGATTACACTTTCACTTAAACTTTTAAGCCAAATTAAGATTCACACTAATTTTTGTGTCTAATTAATTTTGCAGTTATTCAGAGACTGTTCCAGTAACACACTTAAACATAATTTTGTTTTTAACTTTGACTTTCGAACCAAGCTGCCAGTGATGCCAATTTTTCGGCTGTACACTTGGAGAGTTGTTCAGAGACTGCTCTAGCAGACTGACTCTGCTTTGAAGCAAGAAATCTTCACAGCTTCAACTCTGCCTCCAAGTTACTACCCTAATTTCGGCCGATTTGAACAATTCGAATTTAGGGAGTTAACCATAATTCTCACTGCTACAATCACCTAGCTTTAGTTTGGGACTTTGGACCTTAAAGTCCTAACGTCGTTTTTGACAGCTGCTTGAAAAATTACACCATTAGCGTGGGTTGCTGGCCTTCCCACTTTTGACTTACGGGGTTCAAAACCTGTCAAGTGTAACTTTACCAAAGGATCCCGCCTGTCAACTTTCGAACTGAATTTCCAGGAAAACTCTGTGGGGTGCTTCCTGCCTGGTCTTTGTAGGAGTGAAACAGACCCTATTCTTGAAACCAAGAATCGGGCTAAGTCACCCTTGAATATTCCTTACTACATCCTATGCGTAATTACTATAAAAAGAAATCTTGATTACAAATAAAGCTGGTGGTGTCAGTGGTATGGCTACACCACCATCTGAGAGGTCAAAATTTAAGTTAAACTGGGGATCAAATTACAGACCATTATCACATAAATCACATGGCTTCCATCATATCTCTTAAAAATATATAAAATTCATGAAGGCAACTAACCTGTATGTTCAAAGGTTTCAGTGCAGTTGCTATTCAACTAATGTCATAAATATGCTTACCAATGATAATTTATTGGTCATGGATCTTCCTGAATGTTGTCACTGAACCCAAGAGGCTGGCACCCACAGAGGCTCTGTTTCTACTTTCTTTACAGCTAGTAATAGTTGTTCGAATGCTGTTGACAAATCGGAATTCTCAATAACTTTATCAAACAGGTGCCCATACAAGAACTCTATACGTTCACTACTATGCAGCATTTCTCGAAATTCGTCATCCTGAAATCAAAGAGATATGACTCACTGGTAAAGCTTGTATGTAAGCTCGTGAAGGTCTAAAATCATAATATCAAGTATGAAATCCTATCTCAAGGTGTTAATATTACTGAGAAGTACCAAGACGCAAATAAGATTTAGATAATGTCACTGAAGGTAATTACTGCAGAATTCCTACAGCCAGTCACTTGTGTTGGGTGTGAGTTCTTTCAACACCGTTACAATGAAACCTGGAAGTCTATACTAGCATTCTGTTCCCTACAATCCAGGGCTTTCCACAAAGTACAAAATGGTAAGATGAACATAAAAAACAATCGTACTTACAGTAAACCCTCTTGAATTATTTTCATCAAATGTAGATCTGGCATAACATGCGTTACGAGTCTCTTTCAGAATATCAAATTCTGGTGGCTTGATGTAAATTAAAAATGGTTTCAACTGAGGAATCCTCAACATTTTCAGGGCCTAGAAAGAAAGAAAAAGGACAAAATGATGTGCCTATGCAAATCATACAAGGTACAACATAAAATCAATGGTGAAAAGGGAACTGACTTGGTAATGTGGATTCAAGATGCAGACATATCCAGCATTTACTAATGACTTGACACTTTCTGCTGATGTACCATACAAATTCCCTTTGTATTCCCCAAATTCTATGAATTTTCCAGCTTCAATCTCTTCTTCCATTTTTTCTCTCGTTACAAAAAAATATTCCTTTCCATTCACTTCTCCATGTCTCATAGAACGAGATGTGTCTGAAACAAAATTATGTTGTATACTTACATTCATACGATTACAAAAGCAATAAGCCATATCTACATTCATTCAATCAATCATGAAATAAAGTAAAACATGAAAACACCAGAAAGAAAGCCAAAATGAAGCATCATCAAAGAAATTATATAATATCATTAAGAAATATAACAATAAAGATGGGTAATTACATGGATGTCATCTAATTAGGGCTCTTGAGTGCCTACAGTAAGTGTTTAAAATTTGGCTCAATGAAGAGATAACAAGAAGTCCTGAGAAAAGCTTATGACATACACTTCCCTTTAAATCTGCAGAGAAGGACTAGCAGAATATAAAATAATAATTTCACAGATTTGTGAAACATTCCTCTACATACTATCTGCTACAACAGATTTCCAATTCTTCATATTTATTGGGCATATTTCAAAATTTGGCAGCAGAATACACTGATACATTTTCCTACCATATGAAAAGTAATGAGTATGTTTAGTTGTTTTTACTTAACAGTGAGGTAATTCTTTCTCTCTTCCTCTCTTGCCTTATAATGGTGTAACTCTAAACATTCTGCTGTATTGCATGAGAAGAATTTAAACTAGCCTTAAGATGTAAACTGTTGAATTGATTAACACAAGATTTAATGGCAATGTGAGCTTCATGTTCCACTACAAAAGGGGCAACTGCATGAAGAAATCTTTGCACTATGATGCTAGTTACATCCCACAAATTCCAGACACCTCACTGGAATAGCACATCCATTTCCAAAGCCAATATAAGACTTCTGGCTTCTTAAATAGTAATACAGGGGTTGAAAAATCATATATTTATATATGGACAAATATTTCAACCACTCTACTTATGACCAGCAAGTTCTGCAGGTCTATGAAACCCAGCCTCCAGAATGAATGCTGCAGAAAATGAAAGAAAATAAAATATGATACTATGATACTCACATGGGATAGGAGTCTTATATTTTTCTTGGTCGGTAGCAATGAGTCTCCGCTTGAGCTCATTGCGCCCAACACCCGGAGGCCCGATGAGTACCACGGGTCTGTGAAGCCCCGGGCGTGGGTAAAGCTTTGCCACTTCCTCGTATGTGGCAATCTCCTCACGGTCAAAGTCATCATTCTCGGCTGTGTCATACATAATCTTTTTAGTTTTAGGTTTAGAGGCACAGCGAGGGGACTTAGGGGACTGACACCCAGGGAGGACTGAAACAGAGCACAAACCTACAGGGAAGTTAGCGGGCAGCAAATGTAAGCCTAATGACCAAACCACATCGCTGTATGACCCTGAAATATACCAGAAACAAAAGTATCTCAAGTCATTGTATCCAGTTACAAAACATAAATTATGTTATCTACCTATATCTTGCAATTAATAAATGAATTCCATTATCAAACTGAAGTGTTAATAGAAAATAATAAAATCAGCTTCAAAATGTAAGTTTTAAATATAACAGATAATTTGTTATCTCTAGCTTCTAAACATAGTTCTATTATACTTTACTATTGTACGAGTTAAAAATTACTTACAAAGTTTACATTTTAATACATTCAAGCTATACAGCACCAAAACTGCAAGTAAACTGTTATAATTAAAGCTTCTGCACTTAGACCATGTGTCCTCCCAACCCAAGCAAAGCCATGCTGTAGAATTCCAGGAGAATGTGAGGAAAATACTATAATTAATGTGAGGCGTTAAGATATTCAATGCAGTTGCAATGTCAACAACTCACATTTACCGTCAGGAAGGGGGGAGAAACCTACAGTGTAATCTGGAACCAGAGATATACACACATGCTAGCATCAGCAAAATTATACTCTCGTTACTCCACAATATACACATTTCATCTTTTTATTTTTATATCAAAGTTAGTAGCACTCTCAGTGTAAGAATCAACAAGAAGTGCAACTCAGCACACATTACACAAATTTAAATTTATTTGCCACTCGCTAACTTTCTACAGAATAGGTGTATTAAATCTTTACTAAGTTAGGGGTAAAGTTTCAACACAGAGCATTTCATTTACACTGTGAACCCACAAGCACAGGGCCAGACAAAGTTAACCTTTTAACACAACAGTCGGGGCAAAATACAGAAACTGTGGGCCAGCTGGTACTATGTGCTCCATTATACAAGTATTTCTCAGACATTAATGACATTAAAACGTAAATTATAATGGCAAATTAAAATTAAAATCCTCTTCTGCTAAGAAGAAGTAGAGTAAAAATGTTCACATATTGTTCAACTCATTGGAGAAATTTCCTTCTTTAGATAACTTAAGTGAAACACTCTGTGTAGATTAAGTCTACAATATGTGCAATATCTAAATGATGTAAAGACACACAATTTCTGTTCACAAGGTGGTGACAAAAAATACATTTGTTTAAACCTTTACCACTGATTCCTTATCTCACCTTCCTCTGATGTTTTATCCTGCTGGGTTCGCTCATGTAGAATTCTACGCTCCTGCAGTGCTCGGCTGGGTATCAGTCCAGCCCTCATATTACGATCTCCTTCCCTCCTGGCCTGCCACCTTAACAAGGACAATAAGACTAAAATTAATATTTCTAAATTCAGACATCCAACAGCATTAAAATGAACCATAACAGTATTTAGAGCTACGGCAAATATAATTTGATAGATACACAAGAAAAGATATGGAACAATAATTATGGTCACTACAAAACTTATAAACTGATAAATCAAAATACATGATCAAACTACAGAGTGAATTACAGATTCAAGCTCTTAATCTGTAGGGGCATTAAGCAAGAGAAGACATGCCAGGTCCAGGGTCACAGAGTGAATAATGCTGCAGCTGCACTAGTATAGTTAGTGCCTTGTAACTTTAGCCGCACAGAAAGGTAAATGCTGTTGTTGAGCACGCGAAGCTTTACGCTTGTTGTGATGTTCAGAGCTACTCCCCAAGCAGAAAACATTGCCTACAGAGACCAGGAGTAGATACACAAGGTACTAGACACCTGACCACTCCAAGACACTATATTCCATGCTGACATAAGCTGATAAGACTGCCCCCCCACCTCCAGCTCCGTGAGAGATGGTATGACTCCTCTACCATGGCTAGAGTTCTGAGGAACTAACAGTAGTGTTCACTTAAATCTTACCTTGTCATCAATTCATGCTGCCCTGTCAGGTTTTCCTTTTCAGAAAAAATATTAGTACCTTTACACAACTTTTTACAGTACAGTGAAGTGATCAACTTCCCAAATTATGTTCTGCTCCATTCAATTCATCTCACTTTGTTTTCCAAGGTCTTTAGTGAAAATTTAATACAGCCTTATGAAATCAACAAATTCTGTACACAATGAAATAATGGACAGACTTACCAATAAGCATCATCTTGGCTTACAATGTGCAACACATCTCCCTTTATAAAATCAAGTCCTGCCTCCTTGCATGGTATGTAGGGATCAGTTGAAGATGAATAGTCAAAATGGGCACGTACTCGTACTTTACTTTCCCGAATGCCTACTTTTCCATCTGCTGGAACCAACTTGAAGGTTATTGTCCCTTCAGAATTTTGCTGTAACATAAACCGAACCTAGTAAATCCACAACCTCTGTACATCTTATTCACACTGAACCTCCCCATACTTCAACATCTTCTTGCATAATATATTTTATATTTCTGTCTTCAGGAACTTCACCATCTGTTAACTTTGCTAGTCTTCTTTATGTACAATATTTCTTCACATACTCAGCTGAATCCTAGGATAAATATTTTACAGATATTATGGACCCCATCCTCTATATCACAGCCCAATTTCTGTACATGTAAGTGTTCATGCTTATAAACTTCATTTCATACAGATGGGCAACAACAAATACAGAAGATTACAGAAACCCTATCAGATGCTTCTAAGGAGGTTGGTCTACAAGTAAACTCAGAGAAGATGGGGGGGGGGGACACAGAGTATAAAGGTACCCACTAAATCCTTGCAAAAATTGTAGCAAAATTGTGAATTGATGTGCTCAGCATGAGATGATTCAACTTTGGCATTTGAATGATATGAACAAGAATGATAAAATACATTAAAAATTCATTACTGGCTACATATGTATGCGTAGAAAATAAAATACCAGTTATAAAAATGATTATCAAAACAAAGAACACTTCAGTACAATTAAGACATGAATACATACATGTGTTTTAAAACAGAAATTAAAAAGCTGTCAGTCAGGCAATAAGAATTAAAATGAAGTGTCACTTTTCTGAGTAAATACAAATAAACTTAAATTCAAACTTCAGTTTAGGGAAGAACCAGCCAATATTATATTAAAGAAAAAACTACATGTTTAATATTATATTACTAACCAGTATTTTGAGGACGTCATTAGGCGTTTTCCCTTCAACATTGATGCCATTAACTTCACACACCTCATCCCCTACATGGATGAGACCTGATCGATCTGCAGCCCCTCCATGCATAATACGAGCAATTACAATTTTTCCCGTCTCCTCATCTGTTTTTATTGTTGCACCCTGACAAAGAAACACATTTCAAGACAACAACTTCAAACATATGTTGAAATGCTTAATAAAACTGTGAACACTGTATCAAAGATTAGTTCCCACAATGAAGGATTATGTAAAATTATTTGTAACAAAAAAAGCAATACAGAGAAATGAGATGTGATGGCGGCCATATTTAAACTTGGGGTCAATGTTATTTATGCTCTATAGTGTGAGACGCTATGCCTACAGGACCCATGTGTGTACTGTCACAGGAACGCAACACGCAGCCAATAAGGGGATCTAAAGGAGGCAGGGATATACTAGTGCATAAATGGGATAATGTGGAATTTGATCTTGAAGAAAAATGTTGTGGTCATATAGGCTAAATTTATCTGGCATTAGATGGCACCTAACAAGTGGCATTGGTCGACCATCATGAACATTTAAAATTCATAGCAGGGAATTGATTTAGGTTTTATTAATGAAGTTTTATTGAGCACAACCAGAGTTTACCAAAGCTGAACGTTTAATACAACATGCATAAAAATGTAAAAATAAGCACACTATAACAATGTGAACCACGCTAATAAACAAACATTCTACTCATGCTCTCAAGTAAAACTATGACTTGTGTCAGGATAATCATAACCTAATATTACAAGGAATAGAACAGGAATAAGGATGTCAGATTTTTGGTTTTCACGGCAGTGACCATGAAGAATGCCGTTTTCTGGGATGTGGCACTGTGTAGATCTTCTGTGAAGATTTCGGAGGAATGTCAGTTCACACAAGATCTACATGGCGTCACATCTGAGAAGATGACATTCTTCAGGAATACGGATATCCAACACCAATACTAAGTTTCAATAAAAGTTTATACAGACTGTCCATAAATGACCTTTATGATTTCAATCTTTTATCACCCAGAGCAATTTTTAAGGCAGAGTTAAGAACTATAAACCACCTGAAACATGAACTGAAAAAGGTGTTATAAAAACTAACAAAGTTCAACATGAGAACCCGAAGTGACTTGAGCAATATGAAATTGATATTTAACTTCCTGCCACACTTTTTGGAGAATACTGTGGTCACCCTTGTACAGGCATCTGCGATCTACCTCTTGAGTTCATCTAGTGCTGTCAGCAACACTGTGCTGAACAAATTTTCAATTTCTGGGGACTGCACAAAAATGACTGCTTAATGTTTTCAATGTGTTCTTCATTCACAGATGGTGTGCCAATACTTTCTCCTTTACAGACACAACCATCACTCATAAAACGTTTGTACAAACCAAGAATTGATAGTTTACTTAATGGAACCCCTCCATACATATAGCGAATCTGCTGCTGCACTGTTACAACAGATTTCATTTCATGAAAAGCCAACACATGACGTGTCTTTTCTGGTCTGGGTGCCATTTTGCAATATTCATCAATGTAGCTCCACCTAGTGGCAAGAATGAACAGCAGGATACGACTCTTTAGAGTTCATTTTTCCAACTGAGGTATATTTCAACTGTATTTAAAAAATCCTCTGAATAATAAAAACAGACAGAATTTTAAAGATCATTTATCCACTGCAGTTCTCACCAATAATGTTAAGAAGACAAACCAACCACTTCAAGCCCATGTTCTGCCCTCATCCCTTAAACTATTAATTGAATGCTGTACAATTACAGTTGCATGTGCCATATATGTGCTGATTATGACATCACAAAGATAGTTTCCTGCATGTACTATAGAGGGAACAGTGGAGCTGTTTCCCCTGCACTGGCCACTGGCTCTCTCAGTACTTAAACAAAATGTCATTACTGATTATTGGTAAAATGGTGATACAAACTTACTGTATTTAAAAGAACTGAGTCCCTTCTGACATTAAGCCTGCCTTGCAACATGTAAACAAGTTTTATGACACATTCTTCAGAGTCTTGATGTGAATAACATGCCATGAACTTGCAGCACACCACTCCTACTTCTATAGTACATCGTGTAATGGCACATTTTGCATCAACAATTCGCAAAAGTGAATACTTGTCACATAATCTGACTGCTCAAACACATGCACATCTTATTATATGTGGGAAAAATTTAATTCATCTTGTGACCACGAGCGCAGATTCATTCATTCATTCATTCATTTTATTTTTCTTTGAGTAATCCATAACAGTGATCATCACCTAGGATATAGAAGATGTCTACAGATCTCAGCAGAAATCCAGGTTTTACACCAAGTGTTTTAACAGTTAGTGGGCATTGATCTCTAATCACATGTGAATAACTTAGACTTTTCTTTCAGTTAGCATATGACTGTTGGATTGCTTCCTTTTGTCACAAACTGAACCCATAATCCATCACTCTCTGACAAGCTTTCATACAAATTACTTTGGAGAATTCATTCTTGTGGGTTTTTATAAGTGAACTTTCAATTTACGCAGTGTAAAAGCAGCAGTGTGTTATGCTTTAAATGTGTGCCAAATTATTCACCTCAGAACTTCACAACATGTCACAAAATTTATTTACATGTTGCAAGGCATGCTTGAAGGCAGGAATGGCCCAAGCCTAGTAGTAAGTGTGTGCTGACACTTACAGTAATCAGTCATAAGGTTCCGTTTAAGTAGAAAGAGTCCACTTCAGTCAGGGAAAATCCCCATGCTGTTTCCTCTGTGATCATGGAGTAAACTACTGTACTTCTATGTTAATGCAAGCACCACATTTCCAATATACATTCCGTACTATTCAGGAAGGCAAATCAACTGAAACTTTAAAAGCTGTCCATCAGAAAGTCAATGTACACTAGACCAAATGTGACAACACATATATAGCACACATACATGAAGAATTAAAAATGTGATAAGACAAAAGTGAATTAAATAAAACAATGCGTATCTCTGAACTTTAATATACTTTTGTGGAAGTGGATGTTGGGGTCATGAGTGTTGAAGTAAACAGGATAGAGGGCAGAAATTTGTCTTTGATCATTTAGGTTTTTCTTTCATTTATGTAACTGTATATTCCAACAGAATTACATAAAAATTTATCATGGTATTAAGTACAGCTCTCTGCAGGGAAAAATAAAACAAGGAACAGCTTCTACTACGTATTCAAAAAAGTATCACTTCAGAAGACTGCCAGGGCAGAATTCTTTAGTATTTTAGGAGAGCGAAGGGGAATGAATAAACTACAAGTCAACAGTGCAGCCAAATGCATGGAACAATGAAAGAGACAATGGCACAAATACGGAAAATTCAGAACTGTGAAATCTCCCACTGCAGGACAGAGAAACTTACCACAATGGGCTCAACAGTTTGGGCACCACTCTGTGCAAGCAAGTTATAAAAAGAATAGATGTAGAGATTTATAAAAGCTTTTAAAGCAACATGAAATATATAATGAAACACCTTTGACAAACTATAAACACACTGATAATTAAAGTATCACACTATAAGAAATACAATATATACAACAGTACAGTATTCTTAAATAGTTATAAGGACAGTAGTTTCCACTATTGTAAAATTGTACACAGTTGTTAAGTCAGCATAACGAACAGAGAGACATGGGAAGTACCTCACTGGAGAGGGGAGGGAACCCAAGAATTTCTATTAAAATATTACAACTGTTCACAAACAAACTGTAAAGGAAATAAACATATTAAATATCATTCTGTATATTAAATGACATTGTAACCACTCAATTCTATCTAACAAATCTTAAAGTAGGTTAACTCTCAAAACTGAATTCCTCCAAAATTTTTTTAAAAGATTCCTCATATTCTCAAATGTACAAAACACAGAATGATGAGTACAATAAAAATAACATACCAGTGGTTCATTGCTCTTCACTAGCTGCACAATTTTAATTGTCTCTTCATCCTCATCCACTTCAAGAGGTATTTCAGGCAATCGAGGAAAATAGTCCTTCTGTGCAACTGCATCATGTGCACAAAGCAAACCCTGCACATACAAGAACACAAAAAATCTTATATTCTAATTTTGAAGAAGCTAAATTCAAACTGAACTTTCACTTCTCTCAGTATGAAGCATTAAAAAAGCATAATGTTACTTTAATTATGAATCCACGCAAAAAAAAAACAAAACAAGTTCCTCATGGTTACTCACATCAAGCAAACAATGAACATAACACACAAATGGAAATTATTTTCCTTAATTTTATGAAGTTATGAGTTTAGAAGTAAAATATAGCATAACAAAGGATTCAGAGAAACTGTAGCTTTGAAAGACAAACAATACAATTATTATCTCAGAGTATGAAAATATACAATGAAAGAAGTGTGGAAATAAGTGCTTAAGTAATAAAAAATGTACATAATGTTTATAAACAAGCTCCATTCCATATTTTCAGTAAATAACACAATGGACATGGACAAGCCCCTTTGATCCTCTCCAAAATCTTCCTTCTCACTCAGTCTGTAAAATCACTAGGCTACAGGCTGGACGATCATGGGGTCCAATTCCTGGAAGGGGCAGGAATTCTCTTTACCACTGTGCCCAAACTGGTCTGGGACTCATCCAGCTTCCTATCCAGTGACTACTGGGGGCACTTTCCCAAGAGCATCAAGCTGACCACTAATTTCCATTTGGTGCCACAATTAGTATGTACTCACTCAAGTCTTCCTGGTGAGGTGCTAAATTAAGCATAGGAAAAATTTTATCTTTACAGGAAACTCATTACAGTAAAACCTGTCTTAAACGGAATCTCAAGGGACCAGAAAAAATTTCCGCTGAAACCAGGTTTCCGTTTAATCAAGGTATACTATAATAACTAAACCAGAACAAAACGTATTTGAGACAAAACAAAACATGCTCATTAATTTATTCATACTATAATCATTGAACACATGCAAACATTACACTGAACAGGAAAAAACTGCAGTACTCACTTTTTATAATTTTACCAGAACTCCGGCAGAGTTTTTTGCATGCAGTTTACTCGCTTGGCTGCCTAACTTTCCACAAAACTTTAGCTTGAGAAATTAGAGTAAGCATGTCTGAAGTGTTCTGTTGCACGGCAAACTCCTGAAGTACCTTTAAACTGTTGGCAGCATCCTGATAAGTCTTCACTCTACACTTTTCTTCTTCTATCACAATGTCATTTGCATCTTCTTCCTCTTCCTCCTCCTCCTCCTCTCTTCCTTTTTTCGATTTTCTCTAAAATTCTCAACTAATACATCGATATCTGTTGTGTCTGGTTCTGTTTGCACATCTTTGTCTATGTTGATGTAGTCCTCAGCATTGCAGTTACTGAAAGCAGCTTCATTCATGCAATGTTGCAAGTCCTTCTGGTCATTCTCATTTTCTGCACTAGGAGTATTATTGTGTATTATGGGAGGGGGTGGGTTTCTCCATGCACTTAGACCAGTTATTGGTCCATTGTGTGTTACACTAGGAGTAACTTCTACCATAGAAAATCCTGCTTTTTCGAAACACTTTGTCACAGTTTCTGGTAAGAACTCCTTTACTGCTTGACTTATCCAAATAACCGCATCTAGAACCGAGACAGTTCTTGCAAGTTCAGAGGCGGATGATGTAGAATCTATATTGACGAGCAAAGATTGCATTAATAATTTATGATAGTGGACCTTAACATTCCGAATGATGCCCTGATCCACTGGTTGAGAAACACTAGTGGTGTTTGGAGGGAACCAAGCAAGTTGCACCTTGGAAAGTTCGATATGGGGGTGGCATGTTGCGTTATCCAAGAACAACAAAACATACCGGTTTTGCATTTTCATTCTATCATTGAAGACCATTAACCATTCCTCCATGATCTGTGACATCATCCATGCCTTTTTTTTTTGGATATTCACTCAACGGGGAGTTTCTGTATGTCCATGTTTCGGAAGCATTGTGGCTTTGCTGCCTTGTCAATCACTAAGGTTTTCTCCATTTTACCTGACATAAAACCACATAGAAAAACAGTCAATCTTTCTTTGCACAGTTTTCCTCCCAAACATTTTTCACCTTTCAGACATAGCGATTTATTCGGAAGCGCGCGGAAGAACAGTGCAGTCTCATCACCGTTCGCTATGTTTTCAGGTTCATATCCCTCAATTATGGATGGCAATTTTGCTTCCCATTCCTCAATGGTCACACTATTTACATCACTTGATTCACCACAAAGTTCATTAAAAACTATCCGATGTCTTTTGCGAAAACTCTCCAACCATCTGTTAGATGCTTTGAATTCAGTCTTCCCCAGTTTTTCAGCAACATCTTTAGCATATTCCTGTACCACAGGACCCAACAACCGGTGATTTTTCACCCTCACATTGACAAACAACTCCCACACTATTTCATTAATGTCTTTGTTTGCAGTTTTCTTAAGTTCTCTTTTTATTTTTCCATTAGCACAAGTTTCCCACTGCTTCAAAATTTCCGTTTTCTTCTTTAGAATCTCATACACTTGAGTTTTACTGACGTTAAACATCTTCATGATCTGCTTAACAGACAATTTATTACGCTCACTCGCATGAATCACTTCTAATCTTGTGTTAAGATCAAGCACAACTCCTGTCTTTGTAGCCATGATGACAACTGCTAAAGTAAAACTGTAGGCCTAGAGTCCTTACTGAATACAATTTCCAGAAGGGGAAAACAATTCTGCTGAATCTCAGTGCAGGTAGTGCAGTACCGTTAGAAGCTTATTTTAAAGAGTTAGGGAAAACAAAATTCTGTAGAATGTATAGGATGCCTAAAATTATTCTAAATGATGCATTCCGGAAGACTGGAAATTTTCCATATAAAGGCTTATTTTGATTTCCATTGTCCGCGTTAGACAGTTTCCATTTAATCCAGGTTATTTAACACCTTTTTCAGCCCCAAAGTCAAGGGACCTGAAAATATTTCCATTTAAGACAGATTTCCGTTTAATAAAGGGTCCGTTTAAGGCAGGTTTTACTGTACATGTAGGGTAAATGTAGCTTTTGCAAGACTAGAATGCTAAGCCCATGATTCAGCCTGGCACCCTGAGAAGTCTACAGTGCATTGCCATTCTGAAGGACAACTGATTCTCTAGCAAGATATCTCACTAACTGAAATAACATTCGTTCTAAAGCAAATGTGAAAAGTAATGGCTATAAGCAAGTCTCCTATGATCAACTTGAAATAAATCTGTCCAATGATTTAGACACTGACCCTAGATCACAGACATGAGGACAGAGACACAAACCACAAGATAAGGCATTGTTCTTCACTTTGTGAAGCATGCCTAACAAGGTAAAAAATTATATCTACTTTTACACCACTCTACACAGAGATTACATCCTGGATATTTAAGTTTAAGGGAGCTGGGATAGTGCAGTCAGTATAATGACTGGCTATGAGCTGGATGGCCAAGGGGCTGGAGCTCGAGGCCAGGGAGATTTTTCTCCCCTCCATGTTAGCCAGACAGGTTCTGCAGCAAACCCTATCTCCTATTCATTGGGTACCATCAGCAATCATTCACCAGGAGTAAAGCAGTCAGGGTGTGAATCTGACAACTTACCGCAAACTAGTGCTGAGGTCAAGAATATGTGTATCCACTCCCCATGTCTTCATGGCATAAGTTAAGCACAGGGACAACATTACTATACATATTTATGTTCAAAAACACGTAATGCTAAAAAGTTTCTTGACCTAATTTTAAACTGAGCTCAACTTCAGCGCAATACTTCACCTGAATGTGAGGTTTTTGGAGCAGCATAAAAATTTCTTTGCATTCTTCTCTTAAAGCAGCTCTCGGCCCAACCACATCCAGAACCTCCAATGCAATTTGCATTGAATTTGAAAGCGTAGGATGGAACTTCTCGTCTTTCCCATTGCTGATTATCTTATTGTGAACCTTTACTAAGGCATGCAGTTCTTTTGATTGTAGCAAGTCACTGAGAAACCCAAATTCTTCTTCTGAGCTTGGAAGAACTTGTCTGGCTTCTTCCAGTGATGCTAAAAGCCGGGAGAGAGCTGAAAAAAATCAATACACACTATGGTATGTATGCAAACCCTACCATAACATTCTGGTGTAGGAGTATGAAGTCATTTTATTGAAAAATGTAATGTAACATATATGGAAATGTTAAATTAGTCTTTAGTTACTTATTACAGTAATTTGAGGAGTGTGTAATTTATGATACTTAAATAATCTGGTACCAAATATCACAGATGTTGGTCTTCTCCTTGAGTGAGTTAAAGGTACTGACAACGCTACTCCCATGTCTGGCAGGTCATGATGGTGTATAAAGGCCATAGAGGAAATATTATATATTCTAAATCTTGGAAATTTATGGAAGTGTGTGGTTAGTTATGCACCTTGCCTTACCTACAACAGACAGGCCAGAGTACTTGTTAGACTAAGCAGCATGGTGCCCTTTGGAAATAATAACATCCTTAAAGGAACATGACCCCCAATTGTCCAGCTTACAGCCAATCACTTTACAGAAATACCATGGCCCTTGAATAGCATGAAAGGACTGAAGGATCTGGCGAAATGTGTTACACCACACTTTCTCTAAAAAGGACACACCAATTGTTAACCTCTTGCAGTTATTACGTTTTGTACTCATGTGTTACTGACAAGAAACCACATAAAGCCGTGTGGTTTTTGGATAACAGCAAAGTACAGGGAATCCACTTTATCTTTTGACATGCTGGCTAGAAATCTGTTAGCCCACACCTGTCACAGGTGGTTACTGAACCATCACTTAGTCACACAATGCTTCCTAGATTGTCTCAATACAATTACCAGTTCAGCATTTAGTTGCTTTAAGTTATGTACAAACAATTTTACTGTGTTGTGAAATAACGAGTTCAAAAATAACATATACTGTAAACCTTAAATTATTCCTACATGATGAATTAGCACAGTGGTCTTCAAGGAGATGACATAGAAAGTTTAATAGAAAACATCCTGATAGCACAGAAACAAACAACCTCCATGGTTTTAGTCCACAAGCAAACTATACTGACCAAGCGATGGCCGCTTGTCGGCAAAGTTAGTGCCAACTTTAGTGGAGAGAGGGTGTCATGTGGTCAGTGCAACAAATCCCCATGGCCATTAATTTCGGTTTTCTAGACCGGAGCCGCTATTTCCTTGAAACAGATCCTCAATTATCATCACAAGGCTGAACAGACCCCATTCCAGACCCACTACTTCTCAGAAAATCTGGTAGCGCCGGGAATTGAACCCAGACCTCTGGATCTGTAGGCAGGAACTCTGACCACTAGACCACAGAGGTGGTCTACTTGATAGCACAGTGTTGTGTAAAACAATGGTTCACAATACTGTAACAAAATTATGCTCTATAGCAGGCATGCCCAACTTCAAACAGGTTGTGATCGACTTTCTAGTGTCAAAACTGTCAGTGATCTACCAGCCCCTCCTATCATTGTACCTCGTTTTAAGAAAAATATTGGTAAAAATAACATGACACATGATTCTTGTTGTAAAAGCAACATACATTTAAAGTATGGACTTACCTTGTTCATTAAGAACGGAAAAATAGGAATGACTAATACGTATTTTCCTTACAAAATCTGACTATAATCATACTATATTACAAGTGAACTACATGCTTTTCATGTATAATTTCCATATAGGCCTATGAGATCGACCAAAAATCGTCCTGCGATTGACGATTTGGACATGCCTGCTCTATACAATCGATGCTGGATAAAAAGAAATCTCAACAAAGATATGTAATGATTGAAGAAAAAATTGATGACATCAATACACAATCAGATGCAACTTTTTAGCTATCACATCTTTTGGATCTTTAGTGTGGGACGGCAAAAAGCAAAGCTCACATTGGTATAACGATGCTAAAGTGCACTTCAATCTATAAATATTTAAAGACATATGATTTATGAAACTTAAGGTCATTTTAGCTCAGACCTATTACATTATTCTTATTTGCAAAGTATGCTCTTAAAAACAGACTGATGGGAATTCATTATTATTTCATTTTTAATATTTTGCCATATAAATATAGTGCCAGTGAAAATGTTCCAAGCACATATACATATTCTAAAAACTATGCTATACCTTTAAAGAAAAATTAACATCTAAGTAATAAATTCTGTACCAACCGGGATCCCAATTTCCATTCGCCATAACTGCTGTCATTCTATGACTCTATTAGTCTATCATTATTATCTGAAACCGAAATGTGCATACATAAGTTTGTAAGTGCATAAAAATATCAGTTATCTATGAAATAACAGTTTATATGGATGTGATGACAAGAAACAGATTCGAATATCTTTACTGTATTACTTAACACCAATCCTACAAATGTTACTGAATTCAATATCTCAAAAACTTTTTTTTTTTTGTCTAGCAAAAGCATAATGTGTAAGAATGAATTATTACACTTCATTAGTTTAATAAATTGGTCTTGATGCACTCAAGAATTGTTAGCGCTGGCAATGTATAAAAATGAGAGTCACTTCCTGTACATAATGACATTCCAACAAAAATCACAGCCGTGCTCTAAACAATTTCAATATTTTACCCAGCGTAGAGCTCCACTTAGGCTTCGAAATATATTCTTTGCCCATGTCAAGCAGTTTTCACAAACTAAAAGGTGCCATGTTGTTTTGTACAACTGCCAATCAAATGAGAAAACTAATTGTAAATTTTATATATCCTTATATTACGAATTAGAAACTGAAAATAAATTAAATTTATTACATGAAATTATGTCATGGAATTAAATGTATTAATTATAACCATTTTCCGTGGCTCAAGAAACATTATTCTACTTATGCCACGCCTTATATTCATTACAGCCAACAGTGAATTGGAATTGAAATTTGTTTGGATGGTATTCAAGGTACGCATTCAGGTTAGATGCGGATACTGATTCTTTAGTTTGATAATATTGAAAATGCATTTATGAAAGATGTAATCAGGCACATTAAACTGTAGTAACTGTTGCTTATATTATTTTTTCCCACAAAAAATATTTGTTTACGTCTGGAAGTTTCATTGCTACGCTTGTACATAATATAGGTTGGCAGCATTGGAAGAGCACTGCATGGAAAGGAGGGTTGGTGAAATTAGCGCATTTTGTATACTTGTTGTGAATTTTGGAAGAAAGACGATTACTTTTTGTATATTAGCGAGAATTTTTTTAATTGTCGAAGAATATTTTAGGTAAGCTTAACTCCACTAAAAGCTCTTGTTATATACTTTCTCATTGTTTATGTAGGCAGGTTACTTCATGCTTTGTATACCATAATTTTAGATGGTTGTTCGATTTTAACCTGTACCGGAATTGATTAGCTGCTTTTAACATTTGTATTGAAAGACTAAAGTGCACATTAGGATTTCATTATGCATCAGCGAGCACACCAAACTTAGATCTACTTTTGCTGAAAGGCAGGAAATAATTTTTTCAACTACTGAACTGAACAACCTGTTGATATAATTTTTGTGGTTTTTACGGCTATAATTTTTCAGATAATTGTCTTCTGCATTGCGACACCATCTGGTCTTGTAGACGGATACTAATGTTTCGGAGGAACATGCATCTGTTTCCGGTGAAGTGTTTAGGTTCAGGAATGTAGGCAGGTTACAAGGAAGTTGACCATGTAATCATGGAGAGGGTGTAAAGAAAGGAGCCCGATCCCAGCCAGTCGGAGAAGTGGGGATTAAACTCCTGGAAAGGGCTGACCTTTATCAATATAGTATCTACCTGCGAAGAGAAACTAGTTTGCCTCTGATAAGGGCCATTTACTGCAATTTTTTCTCATTATCTGAAATTGGTTTCCCTTACCCACTATCCTTGGGTTTTATGATTAGCTTGTAAAATGCTTGCATAGCCAAGGTGACTGCCAAAACTACACGCTTCAACACTGAAGATGGACGCAACATGTTCCTCTGAAACATAGGTAACTGTCCACAATACTGCATGGTTTCACAACTTAGAAGACCACAATGTGAACAGTATGCTGGATTGTCGGCAAACAAACTTGTAAATAACTGGTGATTGACTTGTAGAAATTATACCGTGGAAATGAATTACTTCCTCCATTCTAACAGAGAAAGTGGTGAACAGCTATATTTTCAAATTGAGGTTACAATTGTACTTCTTTTCACTGTTGTTTTGTTATTTCTGATTGCATATGTTATTTTGAAGGTGGGAACAGTTCACTAAAATAACCACTCATAAAATTATATGCTTCAAGGCCATGGTATTTCACTCACCTTACCTTGCAGCCCTGTGTCTACTCTGCCTCATTCCCAGCTTTCTGTGAAAATAGACTGAATTCTATGTTACAACTAGAAACAAGATCCATGTGGTGAAAATTGTTATGCATACACAGCACAGAAACTGAAACAGTCTGTATTCCAGTGTTGATGTAGCAGTACTGCATGATTTTGCCATAATCTTGAACCATATACTTTACTATAGCCTTTCTGGTGTTGTGAAACACTTCACTATTGAGTGGTTTGCATTCCTGCTTCATATCCGGGACGTCATGAGTTCAGATTTCTGTCTGGAGACCAGCATCTCTGCTGACAGAGTAGTTATGGTTTTCCTCAGTTCCTCCAGGTAAATTTTGGGATAATTTCATAACACAGACTAGACCATTTCTTTCTGTGTTGTGAGGATTCATGAATCTTAATATTTGATACTGTATAATCAGAGCAGTTGAAAGTGTATTTAAACAAATATACTGATGTGAATTGTTGATGGATCATAGGTGCTTGTATTTGTGTTGATTGTCATTTTATATGGCACTTATGCATTGGATTTGGTACTTATTTATGGGCAGTTTGGGTTGACAGTTGTATCTCTTATTTAGAAGGATGGATGAATGAATGAATGAATGAATGAATGGATGGCTGGCTGGCTGGCTGGTTAGTTGGATGACTAGATGAATGTTCATAAAAACAAACAGTCCAAGGATCCTTTTGTCCAGGATGTGAAAGAAGTTGGTGCACAGTACAGCACATTTCAGAAGGACCTGAAGTGTAATAGGCATAACTCCATATAGTCGTAAGAAGAAGATACACTAGAGCGAACCTTAATGCTCTTTTGAGGAGTTCTGCACCTACATAGGTAATTGTCTGTACACACATTGTCCATGTACATACACATCTGCAAGAACTTGCAAAACACTTAGGCAAGGCATGTTACAGTAAATGCCTTGTAGATAATGCATAAGAATTTACAATTAAATTATTCTTTACATTCTGTGAATTTTTAGTAATATGAATTCATCAGCAGAATAGGGAGTGTGAGTTGAAAGGAATTATTTTAATGCTGCTTTAAATTATCTTCTGTTTGTGGTTAAGCACTTAATTTGGTGGGGGGAGGTGGTGGTAACTTATTATATACTTTATCTCTGTAATTGGAACCTGATGACTGTAACATGGATTACGCATTCATCACATGGAACAGAATAAATAACTTCAGAATCAGTCACTACCAAGTAACGGGTCCCTTAATGTATATACACAGTGTGTCCAGGTTCTGTTAGGACTGTGTTCATTAAAAATACAAGATGTGAATTATTTTCAAAATTTCACTCTTTTTATTCAAAATAGTCTCCTTCTGAATCAATACATAGCTGGAATTGATTGAAAAGTTTTCGAAAACTGTCACTGTACTCCATTTATGGAATCACATTTAAAACTGCAGTACATTCCCTTTGGATGTCCTGGATGGTGTCATGACGGTCTCCTTTCATCGCCAAATTAACTTTTGGGAACAACCAGAAATTGCTGGAGCCAAATCTGGTGAATACAGAGGATGACCAAGGACTGTGATCCCTTTTCTGGCCAAAAAAATTGCTCTGCACGATCTTCAATTTGTGGGGAGGGGCATTGTCACGGGGGAGCGACCAGGAACTTCACTCTTCATATTCAGGTCGAATTCAAAGAATTATCGCTCACAAACGATTGAGGACTCCGAGATAATATTCAGAATTCACTATTTGACCTGGCAGAAATTCCTTGTGAATGATTTGTTTGGAATCGAAGAAAACGGTTAGCAGTGTCTTTGCTCGACTCTTTTGCATGCACACTTTTGTTGGTTTCAGCTTCTTTGAGCTCAGCCATGCTGTACTCTGCCACTTTGTGAGAGGTTCATATTGAAAACACCATGTCTCGTCACCAGTAACAATCAGTTTTGTAAATTTTGTATCACTTTGGGCCGACCGTAACATGTCTTTGCAGTGTTCCACTCTGGCATGTTTTTCATCTCCTGACAGCGCATGTGGTACAAACTGCGCACAGACCTTCCGTTTCCCCAAATCCTCAGTTAAAATTTGATGCACAATACTTGTTGGTATTCCCAAAAGCTCCTCAGTGAGTCTTGCAGAAACACATCTGTCTGATGCAAGTATTTCGGTCACTTATTTCACATTTTCTTCAGTGCAATTTGTTCTCGGCTTTGATGCACGTGGAGCATCTTCAGTGTCCACCCTGCCGTCATGAAATACAGCATACCATCGAAAAATATTCGAGCGACTGAAGCAATCACTACCGTACACACTTTTCATCATTTCATATGCTTCTCCTGCTGTTTTGCCTAACTTCAAACAAAATTTTATGTTGGCTCTCTGTTCAACCGCCATTTTCCGACGAGCGTCAGAACAATACTGTTACATTCAAGGTCAGAACACATGATGCAGCGATGCTTGCGCTTTGAAATTATAGACAGCCACAGCTGAAACTACAAGAATCTTAATGGCACAACTCACCAACAGATGGCATTGCAGGGCAAAATTTAAAAAATTAGTCCTAATGGATCCTGGACACACCGTGTATGTCTCATGGTATGTTTTGTTACTCAAGTCAGTAAACTGCAGCAGTATTTTTACATGGAACTAATGTTCATCTATACTTATGTGAAGGTTTCTGAGGTTAGATACTTCTTAGAAGTCCTAAATATACTATATAGGTGATGTTTTTGTACCCTCTGTTATTATTTACATTTTTGAATATCTGCAATTTCATTTTAGTGTCATGAGTATCACTCTCCCATCCATAGCAATGACATATGTTTGCCATCCATGCCAAGTGAGTTGTATGGACAGTTTTCCTGATTGGCCTCACCATTTTGGTTGAGTCTTATTGTTTTCTACTCCTCCACCATGCTCAGTATTTGGTTAGCATTTTTTGTATTATATATTTTCAATACATATGGTGATTTTCAAACTAAGTATATGTTGCTGTCTCATCACCAAAATACAGGGCAAAATCATGACATAAAGATAGGTAACATATGTTTTCAAAATGTGGCACAGTTCAGATATTTGGCAACGACTGTAACAAATCAAAACCTGATCCATGACATTAAAAGGAAATTGGCCTCAGGTAATGCTTGCTACCATTCACTCTAGAACCTTTTATCTTCTTGTCTGCTGTCTAAAAACATAAAAATCAGAATATACAGAACTATAATTTTGACTGTGGTTCTGTATGGGCATGAAACTTGGTCTCTGACATCAAGGGAGGAACATAGACAGAGTGTGTTTGAGAACAGGGTGTTGAGGAGAATATTTGGACCGAAGAGGGATGAAGTGACAAGAGGTTTGAGAAAAGTGCATAATGAGGAGCTTCATAACTTATACTCTTCTCCAAGTATAATTAGAATGATCAAGTCAAGGAGGATGAGATTGGCAGTGAATGTAGCACGAATTGGGGGAGAAGAGGAATGCATATAGGATATCAGTTGAATAACCTGCTGGAAAGACACCACTGGGAAGACCAAGAAGTAGGTGGGTGAACAGCATTAAAATGGATCTTAGAGCTATATAGGATGGGATGGGATGGATTGGATTGATCTGGCTCAGAATATGAGCCAGTGGAGGGCTCTTGTGAACATGACAATGAACTTTCGGGTTCCAAAAAATGCTGGGAAATTCTTGAGTTGCTGCACAATTGGCGGCTTCTCAAGAGTGAGCGAGTGAATGGTGAATTTCAGAAACATGGTGCATGTGCATAATGAGAGCCACTTGTCCGCTTAGGTGTATCCAGTCTGAGTGACCGGTTGGAATTATGAAACACAGCATTCCTTCCATCCATGTAACTCTACTGATCCTTTGTTGCTTTAGTCCTTTTTTCAGCCATTTTTCCTTTGTTGTGGTTACTTAGCACTTATCTTTGCACACAGAAGTGCCTTATGGCAGGCATACAATCAGACTTGCATATGTTACAGTAAAAGCTCAAAATATATTACTGTCAGTTCTTACAGGGAGGTGGGATAGTTCATTTGATACAGGAAGCAGGCTACAGGCTGGATGACTCAGAAATAAGGGTTCACTTCTTAGCATGAGCAAGAGATTTTTCACTTCTCTGTAGTGTCCAGATTGGCTCTGGAACTTACCCAGCTTCCAGTATGGGGGTGCTTGGTGCTGTTTCTCCAGGGAATAGTGACAGGGGCATGTGGCTGACCACTTATTTCCATCTATTGCCAACATTAAGAATGGTGGAGTCATATTTGTACTCGCCTTGTGTGTCTTCATGGTGTGGCTCTTAATTATTTATGCACAGGGATAATTTTACATTTACATTGCGAGTTTTTCATATTGAAACTAGGAAGCCCGACACACAGTAGACAAAACTAGTATTGCAATTGCAGTTAGAACTTGTTGCTGTAAGTGTGTGGAAGGCAAGAAGGAAATGAGGCTGATTTCAAATTCCATTTTGCATAGTGAATTAGTATTCTGTACCAAGTAAGTCTGATCAGCAAGTAGGTTCAATACAACAGAGAGAATAAACTCTTTTATCAGGGACACCTCACTAAATTCATACTGTTTCCTGCCTTTGCAGACCAAACATGCTGAAGTTACATATCACCTGAACAGTATATTTCTAGCATTGGGTGTGTCACACTATCAACACCTGCAGAGGCAACATGGATTCACTTAAAACATTTACTATAGTCCATGTTTGTCTTTTGATATTTTTCTTCAGAATATATGAAATTTCTTTTCTTTCACTCCTTTTATTCACTTTTTGTAATATTGATTACTGTTCTTCTTTTAAGGATGATTTTGGTATGTAGGAATTTTGTAAGATTCTAAGGAAACATGAAATCTAACAGTAAATCAATTATTCTGATTCATAACAAATTTGCTTAATATTCTATACCAGTGACTGACTTTGTGGTCTAGTGGTCAGAGTTCCTGGTTACAGATCCAGAGGTCCGCCCGGCACTACCAGATTTTCTGAGAAGTAGTGGGTCTGGAACAGGGTCTATTCAGTCTTGTGAGGATAATTGAGGAACTACTTGAATGGAAAAGTAGCAGCTTCGGTTTGGAAAACCGAAATTAATGGCAGTGGGGATTTGTTGTGCTGACCACACGACACCCTCTATCTGCTAAAGTTGGCACTAACTTCACCGACAAGCGGTGGTCTCTCAGTCAGTATAGTTCAGTTGTGGACTAAAACCACGGAGTTTGTTTTGTTCTATACTAGTGGACTAGAAATAATATACTCCGTAATGTAGAATACAGAATTTCCAGCAGCATTGCTTGCTCACTTGTGGCCTGTTTGTAAATGTTATTTCCATTAAATGCAAGATGTATTAGGTACAACAAACCAAGTTCTTATTTCAGTGTTGTTGTAGCACATAGTTGATAATGCTTCATAATATATTGGAAAAGTTCATTTAAGACATTATGTAAAGTCAGCTTTGCAGCAGTCAGTGTAATTAGTCAAAAATCAAAATTGCTGACTAATGGCATCTCATATATAATTTTATCAAAAATGTGATTAATGATTTATGATATACATGAAGATGATCTTATGTAAAATAGGTTTTGTTGTAGATTAGTGTGGTTGAAGATTGAAATTTCCAGCTTTTAATGAAAATCTCCAGTGTCAGAGTTTAGTGAAATCTGACCAGCAGTGTAGGTGCTGATGCTACGTGACAGAAAGATGGGCAGGCATGACATTCAATTCCTTTTTACTTTCTAAAGGATGCGTGCTGTGTACAATAAATATCATTTATTTATGTGTAATGACAGAAGGCATCACGAACTATTTCTAAGTAATGGAGATGTGGTAAGAATTAGCTTTTAATGAAATGGGCAAGAAGTAAATGTGTGTCTGCCTCTGTGGTCTAGTGGTCAGAGTTCCTGGCTACAGATCCAGAGGTCCTGGGTTCGATTCCTGGCGTTATCAGATTTTCTGAGAAGTAGTGGGTCTGGAACGGGGTTCACTCAGCCTCGTGAGGATAATTGAGGAGCTATTTTAAGGAAATAGTGGCTCCAGTCTAGAAAACCGAGATTAACAGCCTTGGGGATCCATTGTGCTGACCACGCTCTACACCCTCTATCCACAAAAGTTGGCACTAACTTCGCCAGCAAGCGGCAGGTGCTCGGTTGGTATAGTTCACTTGAGGACTAGAGACCACAGAGTTAAATGTGTGTACTAATTTTAAAACAGTTTCTTACCAACATCAACATGTTCACTGTGCGTAGGATAGTAGGATCCTGATATTATGGGTTTTTCTGTAACCTGTACACATTCATACAAGGCTCTGAAGAGGATTCATAAGACTGAGCTTGTTTGTTTCGGTTATACTGTACCATTTGTCTACAGGTTTCAAAGATCTACCAGCTGTCAGTAGTATTTGGTGATTGCTCACTTCATCTTGCTGAAGGAGGAGGGATCCAATTCCTGCTTCACTGGGATCGATGAAGATGGGATATGATTGGTTTTCTTCTGGGTGGTTCAGGCTCTCTTGGAAAACTTGTGTCTCAGTTTTACAGATTCCACCTGCATGCTTCACTGTACCTTACAGTTTTCAGTAGTGGTTGCAAGGATGTTACATATTGTAATTTATTATGAATTTGTGAATAGTGTAGTGGAAGCTGTAGTATCTGTTTCTGGTTCTTATGCATTCTTTGTGTGAAATGCAGAAAATGAATCCATAACATGGAGGTCATTTATGCCTGTCTGTGGTGTTTCATTTAATTGAGCAAATGACATTTTTTGTGAGGTTATAATAATAATAGTAGTTGGGCTAGCACGGTTAGTGTAGCAATGTTCTGGATGGCTGGGGTTCAGGTCCTGGCAAGGGAAGATCTTTTTCTTCTCCATATAATCCAGACCAACTCTGAGGCCCACCCAGCTTTCTATCCTGTGGGGACTGGGGGCTGTTTCACCAGGGGTAAAGTGTCAAGGGCATGAAACTGACTTCTCAGTTCCATCTACTGCTAAGGGCAAGAATAGTGGAGTTATACTTATGCCCCCACCCCCCAATATTTCCTCATTTTATTGTGCTTAATTAGGCACAGGAATAACTATGTTAACAGTTAGAAAGTTATATGTGACACAAAAATTAACTTGATTAAACTGCCCATGATTTATTTAAACCGTCTTGCAGTGCATACACTCATTTATCTCCTTATCTCCCTCGCACTACATGTTTCGGCATAACAATGCCATCTTCAGGTGCTTACTTATCCATGCCAAACCAGTTCATTGCATGCCTTGTTCTCATATTAAAATAATCAAAATATGTATCTATCATATACATTGTCAATCGTTAAAAATATTAAAATTGTTCAGGATACCACATCGCTATGTCGCCCCTCACTACGCCAGTCACGCTCATTCTCCTCTGTTGGAGCACTCCTTCACTGTCTTGTGTGTGTTGTGCTTTTGTTATGTCTTGCTCCTGTGACTGCGTGTGTTATGCCGAAACATGTAGTGCGAGGGAGATAAGGAGATAAATGAGTGTATGCACTGCAAGACGGTTTAAATAAATCATGGACTTAAATCAGTGCAACAGGACGCTAAAATATAACATTGATTAAACTGATCAGAAACATCATGCAGTTTTTCCTTACATTACGGACATTCAGGTTATGGAACTTCACAAGCCAAGTATCTCCTCCGTGCCCCTCCCCCAACCAGATTTTTGGGGAAAAATCTAAATGGTAGGAAATGAAGTATATTAAATGTGTATAATAAAAGTAGAAGTATTTAAAAATTGTTTTATATCCTGAATATTCTAGCACAATCTGTAAAGACAGTTTGAAAGTGAGTCCCCCCCCAGGAAAAATTGCCGTCCCTTCTAAGATATCTTGGTGAATCTCATGCATGTAGCCAAAACTTAAGTACAAATTCGTTTAAAGATGCTTCCCATGATTTTCAATCAAAAGCCCATTACATGAAATATGTCTAATTTAGGAAGTCGAATATCGTTTCTTGTACATGTACAGCATAGAATTAATGAAGAAATTTGAAATTTCTGCATACTTATCTAGTGGTTACCCACAAGGGAGAAGACTATGTTGCAGTCTGAGTGTGCACTGCTAACCTTTAGTTTATTCACCTCTGCATGGCATTGTCAGAAGAGTTGATTTCTCTCATCTGCACATCTTTGTGGTGAATTGCATATGTATCATTCTTTAATTTGTGCATTTGAAAATTCTACCACATTGCCTGTCATCTTACTTTATGTAATTAAAAACATTTTAATGTTCTATTTGGTATCAATAAATAGTTTCTTTCTTCACCCATGTACTGAATTGAACAGTCACTACTTCTTTATAGAGGATTTGTGTGTGAACATGAGCAAGTCTCCTCAGGTGTCTACTCATTCATTACAGATTGTGGAATATGAGAAGAAAGTTTTTCCATTTTATATGTGATTTGAATGGGAGCATGTGGTAGTGTAGTTGGTTGAGGCACTGTGCTACTAGCTGGAAGGTCATGGGTTTAATTCCCGACTGTAGCCCTCGGGTCGAATCAGCGGCTAACGGGAACAAGTATCAAGAATTTTCCTTGGGGGGTAAAGGGCAGCCGATGCATGAGGCTGACAACCTCACCACCATCTGTGAGTCTATCGTATAGAGAAAATGTGGGAGCCTCGACGTCTCACAACCCTATGGGCCTTCATGGCCTGTTACAGGGATAGCTTCACGTTTATTTTTTTATGTAATATGAATTTTGAGTTTTTCTTGCAAGACATTCGGTCATTAGAGAAATTACTATTTTAAAGATCAGGACTTGTTGAATCATTTCTCATTGATATGATTTACAGATTAACACAGGTGATCAGGCTATACAAGAATTTTAGTAACTCTGCTGTAGCCACAGTGCTATTGTAAGGTCAAATGCAAACTGTATCTTTCCATTGTGATTGGGCTTCCAGTATTGTAAATTCCTTGTTTCATTTGTTTATTCTGACTCTATGCCAAGATTTTGACAGTCTCTTTGGTTATTCAAGTATCTCTTGAACTGTAATAGCAGCTGCATGTCTATCTCATTTCATATTTAGACATTAAGACCCACTTTTCTGTCATTGATATCAAAGTATTTGAATTTTTTCATGTGAAATTCTGATGCTGGGATTGGAATATATGCCATTCCATACTTCAGAATACAAAATGTGCTATATATATGATTTTAATACTTGTACTATCATGTTGGTGCCTTAGATGCATGTGGTAGATCCTGTTTAAACTCACTGTGCAACTTCTATACCCTTAGAGCAGCATCTGATGTCAGTATTCTGTGTCTAAAACATTCTTGAGGGTGTATAATCAGCAGATGATGATGTAGATTGTTACACTAGTTTTTAAGAAGTTTATAGATTCTGTTTTCAAAATATGAGTGGCGCCAAAACAGTCATGCTGCAGAACTTGAACACACGTGACTTTTCTTTCGTGAGGCTTTGATATAAAGATACATTCAGTATTTATGTGCTTATGTGGAGCCTTTCTGTGTTGTATAAGTTATTGGAATTACTGTTCACAGATTGATATTTCTCTTTCACATTTACTTCAGCCCTCAGTTTCAGATATCTGAGTACTGGCATTACTGTCATTGAGAATGTCCATCCGCAGTTCTTCATATGTAACTTTTATTGTTCAGAGCTGTATATTATTCCTTTTATGTAACATTGCAGTATATTTTAATTGACGCTTTTCCACCAAACATGGCAGCAGTTGTATTATTCAGTAGTGGTGTGTATCCAGTGTTTTATGTTTCATGGACCTTAGTGGTAAATGCAATACACATGGAATATACTTTTGAAGTAAACAGGTAGTATCGATAAATGCATGCATCCAATACATTTTAGTATGAATGTTTTGGTTAATACACTATGTCTGTATCCATATTAAGAAAAGACAGGCAAATGTTTTAATTTTTTCCAGTTGTAAAGAGAAGACATGCTGACATTAAAGGGGGGGTTACCCTGTTCATACATGCTTCGGATGTATGTACTGAAATAAAAGAAAAAAAAAGAACAGTAGTATTGCATGAACTATCTTCAGCAGTTTCATCCCGTTGTTTGTTCCAGATATATAGGAATTATGTTAACCGTCAACACAACAAATATAATCAGTGTTAATGTTTTACAATTTGATCTTTATTCCTGCTACATGTTTTGGTTGTATAAGACCATCATCAGGCAGTTATATATAGGAATATGTACAGTTATTGAACAACCAATATGGATCCATATCAGTACAACGTGTCGTATTATATACTAACATAAAACACACTGAACATATACAGGGTGTCCCAGGAGGAATGGACCAAACTTCGGGAGGGTGTTCCTTATGTTAAAGTATGCCGATATAACCCAAAACACCTATGTCCAAAGTTGAACGGTTATGGAGATAATGGCCCGAGAAAAGTGTGGTCTTCTTGCAGGTCCACGCACTATACGTACCTGTCAGCTGAGACCCTTATCTGTTTGTCCTTGAGTGCTGTGAGTCACTAGCCGTAAGTTCATGCGCTACCTACCAGAGCCTACAGATTGCGTTGCGGCGGGGTCGTGAATGGGTGGTAAATTAGTTGTGTGATGAGTTGCTGAAATGCCTCTTGTGTTTTCACACGTGGAATATTGTGATATGCATTTTATGTGTGGATTTTGCGGTTGCAATGCACGTGCTGCTGTTGAAGAATACCAAAGGCGTTTTCCCGATCGAAGAATTCCATCTCGAAGTGTATTTACGCGAATTCACCAGACATTGCGTGATACTGGTTCTCTTGCAAGTGATTCTGTGCACTCTGAAAGGCAGGATGTACGAATGATAGACACACGAGAGCACATTCTTGATATTGTTCAGTGAAGTCCGCGTCTGTCACTCGTAGAATCGCCTCTCGCATCGGCGTATCACGTATTCAGGTGTGGCGAACTTTACATCATGAAGAGTTATTCTTACCATGATCAAATGGTACAACATCTGGAACCAGGCGACCATGCACAGCGTATGGATTTGTGCCACTGGATAAAAAGTTCATCCCGAACTGTTAAGCGTCATTTTATTCAGTGATGAGGCGTCTTTTACCCTGGATGGTGTAAATAATTTACGAAATGTGCATACGTGGTTCCATAATAATCCACATGAGATAATGGAAACGAAATTCCAAAAGAGATTTCCTGTGAATGTACGTTTACAGTTATGTGGTCGGGTTATAGCGCAGCCATATTACGTCATCGCTCGCCAGTCATGTGTCATGTATAGTGCTTGGAAACCTAAGGACAATTATGACATGGCGAGCGAGTATTTCGTACTTCAATTTTATGGCTTTCCGTCACTCACAAGTTAGTTTGATGTTACGTACATTATTAACATTACAGAATCCACATATTCCTGCCAGTTTTAATATGTATTTTGTAATCAACAAGTGTGTAACACCGGTCAAAGTTTGACACTTCTCTGGCCATTATCTCCGTAACCGTTCAACTTTGGACATAGGTGT